AACTCCATTGTTGTTGTGATCTCTGCTATGTCGGGTTACTGAACTGTGCACCATGGCTTTGGGCTGTGTTATGTGAGCAGTGAATAGTGAGCAGAGCCGGGGGGAGTGAGCAGGGCCGGGGGAGTGAGCAGGGCTGGGGGGAGTGAGCGGGGCTGGGGGAGTGAGCAGGGCGGGGGGGGGAGTGAGCAGGGCTGGGGAGTGAGCAGGGCTGGGGGGGAGTGAGCAGGGCTGGGGGGGAGTGAGCAGGGCGGGGGGGGGGGAGTGAGCAGGGCTGGGGAGTGAGCAGGGCTGGGGGAGCAGGGCTGGGGGGGAGTGAGCAGGGCTGGGGAGTGAGCAGGGCTGGGGGGAGTGAGCAGGGCTGGGGAGTGAGCAGGGCTGGGGGGGAGTGAGCAGGGCTGGGGAGTGAGCAGGGCTGGGGGGGAGTGAGCAGGGCTGGGGAGTGAGCAGGGCTGGGGGGGAGTGAGCAGGGCTGGGGGGAGTGAGCAGGGCTGGGGAGTGAGCAGGGCTGGGGAGTGAGCAGGGCTGGGGAGCAGGGTTGGGGGTTGAGCAGGGCTGGGGAGTGAGCGGGGCCGGGGAGTGAGCGGGGCCGGGGAGGGAGCAGGGCTGGGGAGTGAGCAGGGCTGGGGAGTGAGCAGGGCTGGGGGGGAGTGAGCAGGGCTGGGGGGGAGTGAGCAGGGTTGGGGGGGAGTGAGCAGGGCCGGGGAGTGAGCGGGGCCGGGGAGTGAGCAGGGCTGGGGGGGAGTGAGCGGGGTTGGGGGGGAGTGAGCAGGGCTGGGGGGGAGTGAGCAGGGCTCGGGGAGCAGTGATGGGGAGTTCAGGGTTCAGTGGTGATTAAAGAGAAAGATGTTGTTCACCTTCACTTGAAGCTGAGGTTTCAGTTATTGTGAGAACTGTTGATTGTTGGGGACCAGTCACACAATGGCACTGATCCAAACACCAGATAAGAGCAAAGCTTTCTGTTGTTTTTTAATGAAAGTATTGATTTATTTTAATCTCGTTCCCATCACTGTGCCTCTGTGAGTCTTTATATTGTCAGGGATGGTGTTGGGGACGGTGTCTGTGTGTGTTGGGGACGGTGTCTGTGAGTGTGTTGGGGACGGTGTCTGTGGGTGTGTTGGGGACGGTGTCTGTGGGTGTATGTGGGAGACAGTGTATGTGTCTAGAACGGTGTCTGTGTGTGCGTGTGTAAGTGTGTGTGTATGTTGGGGACCATGTCTACGTGTGTGTGTGTGTGTGTGTGTTGGGGACCGTGTTTGTCTGCGTCTGCGAGTCCTTAATTTGGGACGTCGTTGTGGGGTTCTGAGAAAATTATAACATGATTAGGCAGTCAACATGGCTTTACGAAAGGGAAATTATGTTGAACAAATCTTATAGATTTTTGAGGATGTAACTAGTCGGTTAGATAGGGGGGAAGCAGTAGATGTGGTGTAACTGGATTTCCAGAAGGCATTCGACAGGTGCCACATAAAACTCTGTTACATAAGATTAGAGCCCATGGAATTAAAGGTTATCTATTATCTTGGATTGGAGAGTGGCTAATGGGAAGAAAACAGAGGGTTAGGGTGAGGGTTATTGTAAATCTGTAAAATACAACAGATCTAAATATGAACATTCACTGTCTATATATCAGGAAATATTAATATTGTAGAATGTTGATTAAATGTCTCTTATGAATGTGTGAAAAAAATGTTATGATAAATCGTTGAGGTTTGACCTCACAGTGTTGTTCAACTCTTCGTCAACTTCTCTTGTACATTCCCTCCTCTTTAACAACCTGTCCATCTGTCCTTTATTCTGAGATGAATTGAGGGTATGACCTGATCACGATGTCAACTCCATTGTTGTTGTGATCTCTGCTATGTCGGGTTACTGAACTGTGTACCATGGCTTTGGGCTGTGTTATGTGAGCAGTGAATAGTGAGCAGAGCCGGGGGGGAGTGAGCAGGGCCGGGGGGAGTGAGCAGGGCTGGGGGGAGTGAGCAGGGCCGGGGGAGTGAGCAGGGCTGGGGGGAGTGAGCAGGGCTGGGGGGAGTGAGCAGGGCTGGGGAGTGAGCAGGGCTGGGGGGGGAGTGAGCGGGCGGGGGGAGTGAGCAGGGCTGGGGGGGAGTGAGCAGGGCTGGGGAGTGAGCAGGGCTGGGGGGGAGTGAGCAAGGCTGGGGGGGGAGTGAGCAGGGCTGGGGGGAGTGAGCAGGGCCGGGGAGTGAGCAGGGCTGGGGGGAGTGAGCGGGGCTGGGGGGGAGTGAGCAGGGCTGGGGGGGAGTTAGCAGGGCTGGGGGGGAGTGAGCAGGGCTGGGGGGGAGTGAGCAGGGCTGGGGGGGAGTGAGCAGGGCTGGGGGGGAGTGAGCAGGGCTGGGGGGGGAGTGAGCAGGGCCGGGGAGTGAGCGGGGCTGGGGAGTGAGCGGGGCTGGGGGGGAGTGAGCAGGGCTGGGGGGGGAGTGAGCAGGGCTGGGGGGAGTGAGCAGGGCTGGGGGGAGTGAGCAGGGCTGGGGGGAGTGAGCAGGGCTCGGGGAGCAGTGATGGGGAGTTCAGGGTTCAGTGGTGATTAAAGAGAAAGATGTTGTTCACCTTCACTTGAAGCTGAGGTTTCAGTTATTGTGAGAACTGTTGATTGTTGGGGACCAGTCACACAATGGCACTGATCCCAACACCAGGTGAGAGCAAAGCTTTCTACTGTTTTTTAATGAAAATATTGATTTATTTTAATCTCGTTCCCATCACTGTGCCTCTGTGAGTCTTTATATTGTCAGGGATGGTGTTGGGGACAGTGTTTGTGAGTATGTTGGGGACGGTGTCTGTGTGTGTGTTGGGGACGGTGTCTGTGTGTGTGTTGGGGACGGTGTCTGTGGGTGTGTTGGGGACGGTGTCTGTGTGTGTGTTGGAGACGGTGTCTGTGTGTGTGTTGGGGACGGTGTCTGTGTGTTGAGATGGTGTCTGTGGGTGTATGTGGGAGACAGTGTGTGTGTTGAGAACGGTGTCTGTGTGCTCGTGTGTGTGTATGTGTGTGTATGTTGGGGACCATGTCTACGTGTGTGTGTGCGTGTGTGTTGGGGACCGTGTCTGCCTGTGTGTCTGCGTTTGCGAGTCCTTAATTAGGAACGTCGTTGTGGGGTACTTAGAAAATCATAACATGATTAGGCAGTCAACATGGCTTTACAAAAGGGAAATTATTTTGAACAGTTTTTGGGGATGTAACTAGTCGGTTAGATAGGGGGGAACCAGTAGATGTGGTGTAACAAGACTGAGGTTGAAAGATTTCTAAAGGATAGAGGCATTAAGAGATATGGGGATAAGCTGGAAAATGGAATTAGATTAGAGGATCAGCGATGATCGTATTAAATGGCGGGACAGGCTCGAGGGGCCGAATGTCCTACTCCTGCTCCTATGTCTTATGGTCTTATGGTGTGCAGGGGACCGTGTCTGTGTGTGTGGGGGATGGTGTCTGTGTGTGTGGGTGTGTGTGGATGACGGTGACTGTGTGTGTGTTGGGGATGGTGTCTGTTGGTTGGGGATCTTGTCTGTGAGTGTGTGTATGTGTGTGTTGGAGACAATGTCTGTGCGTCTGTGTTGAGGACAGTGTCTGTGTGTGTGTATGTGTGTTGGGGCTGGTGTGTGTTGCTGTGTTGGGGACAGTGTGTGCGTGTGTGTTGGATACGGTGTCTGTGTGGGTGTGTGTGTGAGGGACAGTGTCTGTGTGTGTGAGTATGTGTGTGGGTGTGTGTGTGTGTATGTGTGGGGGACAGTGTTTGTGTGTTGAAGATGGTGTCTGTGTGTATATGTGTATGCGCGTGTGTGTGTTGGGGACGGTGTCTGTTGGGGACGGTGTCTGAGTGTGTGTGTGTGTGTCTGTGGAGGGTACAGTATCTATGTGTGTGTTTCATTTCTCTGTTGCCGGCAGTTTTTGCTGTGTCTCTGAGTCTCTGTTATATTGAGTGTTCCCCACTCGCGGCTCCTGTGTGACCCACTGTGTTTGTCAGGAAAGAAGCCAAACCCAAACAGTAGAGCTGCCACATTGCTGCTCTGCTCCTGTCGCTGCTGAGGGGAGAACGCTTTGTTTACCCGCGAGTGGTGAGGACATTCCCTCCTGTATGGTCGCTGTATCAGTCAGGATTGTGTCTGTTCACTCTGTTGGTACCAGATAATAACCAGTGATAATGGCTCCTGTTTCTCCCTTGTTCAACAGACACAGTCAGTGACACCGAGGACAGGTACGTACAGATGTGAGGCAGCTGCTGAATACACTGCCGGATATTGTGAATGAATCACTTTTTCTCGCAGGTCTCTTCTGATTGGATCTTTGTCTCATTTCTCTCTCTCTCTCCCCCCACACACACACACACCTCTTGGGGTGGTGAGTGGCTGAGTTGGTGAGAAGAGGAAAATTTTGCAGTGAAGACTCCCGAGGTGTCGGACAGCGCATGTGCACATATGTGCACACACTATCAGTCCATGTGGACACACTATCAGCCCATGTGCACACACTATCAGCCCATGTGCACACACTCTCAGCCCATGTGCACACACTCTCAGCCCATGTGCACACACTATCAGCCCATGTGCACACACTATCAGCCCATGTGCACACACTATCAGTCCATGTGCACACACTCTCAGCCCATGTGCACATACTATCAGCCCATGTGCCCACACTATCAGCCCATGTGCACACACTATCAAACCATATGCACACACTATCAGCTCATGTGCACACACTATCAGCCCATGTGCACACACTATCACCCCATGTGCACACACTATCAGCCCATGTGCACACACTATCAGCCCATGTGCACACACTATCAGCCCATGTGCACACACTATCAGCCCATGTGCACACACTATCAAACCATGTGCACACACTATCAGTCCATGTGCACACACTATCAGCTTTGTGTGAAGGAGCTTTGCTGGTGTTATTCAGGTTATTGGGGCTCAACCCAAAGCTCCAATCTAACAGCCATAACAACACCAGTTTGTTAATTTGCCAGTGACCTTTTATACTTTGTGTCTTCACCTTATTGTCTCTTTCTTAATTGTCCTTAATTATTACAGTAATAAAACCACATCTTCCTTGCTCTCGTCTCTTTTCTTCTGTCATGTTCAATTAATCTTTCTGCTCATCTAATCTTTCTTCCTGATCTTGTGCTTGTTCCTTCTTTTCTCTGGTCTACTTTTCTTTTTTACTCAATTCTGTTCCTCTTTCTGTTCCATGGCCTTTTTTCCTCATCTCTCTGGGCATATATATTTTGTCTTGTATCCAATATGATCCTGGAATTTTTAAAATCAGTTTTCAACATTTTATCTTTGTCCACCCTTCTGTCTTGATATGTGTTTCTACACCATTGATGGCCAACCTTTATGGTCGTCCAACAAAATACATTTTCTTGATTGAATATTTCTGTAATTATGCCATAAATTAAGAAATATTCAAGAAAAAAACTACCAATCAAACATGGACTTACTGCCCACTGTCATCCATAGTTTTTCACCGTTTTGAAACAGTTTTTTTTGCTTCATCTCAGCATCGATCTCTAAAACCACAGGCACAGAGAAGATGAAATAATCTTTTCTCTGCCTGTTAGCAAGTCCCATAATACCTGTGACAATAATGGTACAGTCACCTTTCTTTGTTCTCTATTGGCATGTTCCTGTATGCCAGGATTGCCAAGTGTTTGTCCCCTGGTATTTTTTGTTTTTTTCCCACATTTTCTTTATTGCCTGGACTGTTCTCTCTGCCCTCCCGTTGCTCTGTGGATATCCTGGGGTGACCCTGTCCTGTGCTCTATCCTCAGCTCTTTGTGGGTTTTCTATATGGGGTACTCATGAATTGTAATTCATTATCACTGATTACAGTCTTGGGTATTCCACGCTGCACTAACATTTGTTTGGTATTATTTATTGCTGTTTTTGCAGTCGTGTCCTTTAGTTCTGCATATTCAAAATATCGTATTGTGTTGTTACCTACAATGAGGTAATCACTTACAAACTATTGGCCCATTTCTAACTTGCTTTTCCTCTCTAAAGACCTTGCCAACAGCAACATTGATAGCTCATTTCACGTCGGGAGAACCATGGTGCTGGAAAGTTAAGGGTTTGCACATGGTCAAAGAGTAAGTTCTTGAGATGGATCTTGAAGGCGCCATGGGACGGGGTGCGGTGGAGCGATTCAAGGATGGAGTTCTAGAAAGTGGGGGCAGAAATGTTGAGTGGTGGAGCGGTCAGGGTGGGGCACATCCTTGGCCCCCTTTCTTTTCTTGATTTACATGCTCCCTCTCAGCAATGTGATCTGCAAATATGGGTTCAAATTCCACATGTGTCCGACTGACACCCAAATCTACTTCTCCTCCAGCTGTAACTCCAGGTCCACCAATGCTCTATCAGCTTGTTTGTTAGACATCAAGGCTGGATGAACGCAAACCACCTGAAGTTGAATCATAGAATAATAGAATCATATAGCACAGAAAGAGGCCATTTGGCCCATCATGTCTCCCCCGCTCCTAAAAGACCAATCCAACTCAATCCCACTGGTCCGCTTTCTCTCCTTCGCCCTGCAATCCTGTCCTCCCCAAATACCCATCTACTTCACTCTTAAAAGTTGTCATTGAATCGGCTTCCACTACACTTTAAGGTAATGCATTCCAGATCCAAACAACTCACTGGGTAAAAAAAAATTCCTACCCCCCCCCCCGTTTCTGTTAACAACTATCTTAAATCATTGTCCTCAGGTTACTGACCCACATGCCAGTGGAAACAGTTTTTTTCTGGTTCAGCTTATCAATAACTTCCTCTTTGACCATACCTTCATTCCTGGGAATGTTGTCAAGATGGAAGCCATACTCCTTGGCTCCCATCAATGTCTTCTGTGGTTCTTATCCCCTCAATCTCCTTGGCCTTTCCCTGATACTTACTGAACTTGTGCGTAACCTTGACATCAGAGTTGATCCCAAGCTGTCCTTCCTCAGCACATCCGGTCCCTAACGAGGACCGCCTTCCTCCACCTCCATCACATTGCCTGCTTCCAACCATATGTCAATGCAGCCGCAACCTTCATTCACGCCTTGGTCACCTCCCGTCTCAACTATTCTAATGCCCTCCTCGCCAGTCTCTCCAACTCCCAACTATTCCAATGCCCTCCTTGCCAGTCTCCCCAGCTCCACTATCCATAAAGTCCAACTAATTGAATACTCTCTAATTCAAAACCAGCACTACACTCCATACCTCCATTATGCCGTACCCCCATCACACCGGTCCTCACCAGGCTCCACTGGCTCCCTATCACAGAATGGATCGACTTCAGGATCCTCTCACTTGTTTAGAAATCACATTATGTCCTGGCACCTCTGTACCTTTCTGACCTGCTTACTCCCCAGTCCACTACCTTGTCTCAAATTCCAATTCCAAATCTATTTGTTTTAATCATTTCTTCTCACAGTGCTCCATAGTTATATGACTTGCTTAACTATCTGAGAACAGTCCTAACTGTTTATGTCGACATTGCGGGGACTGAGCGGATTCTGTCGCCATAAGTGGGTTTCAAGATAAAACGAACGAGACTTGTGCATTGATTGTGGTTGAAGCGTTGTTGACTGGAATGAAAGGGATGGAAATGGGATGGAATTGGGAGGAATCTCAGACAGTGGACTCCAGCCATTCACAAGCGGCTGGAGTTGGGCTGTCAATCAGTGAGGAACAGAGAAGAACGAGGGAGGGAATGGGAGGAGTCAACTCATGATTGATTGACAGCTGGAGCCGCTTGTGATTGGCTGGAGCCCAAATACTCACAGGTGGCTCTAAGGCTGTCAATCACCTCAGAGCCACTGCTGATTGGTCCAATGGGACCAGCAATGGGAGGGAGGCAGCCCCGCCCCTGCTCCTCTGCTGGGTGGGAAGAGACAATGTTAACCTGAGATGCCCTTAAGCCGGACAAATGGTCATCCTGATGTGTCCGGTTTAACCAGTTTCCACTGTGCTTTGCTGCTTCAGCCATTTGTGCCAATGGCTCAGATTGAACAACAGAGGTCTGCAATCCTTCACATACACTAAATGCCTCTCTTCACACCCGCATAATGGCGTTGTTTTCAGGTTACTCCGCTTCTTGTATGTCCTCTAGTTCTTTCCTTACTGAAGTGATGATATCTTCATCTACCAGTGCTGCAGTACACTGCCCATTTACATCCTCATTAACAACAAGATCCATGAACTCTTCATTTTACAAAATAAGAGCTTCACACATCACCTGATCAGAATCTTCTTGGCCACTACAGGTATCAGCTGTGAATCCACGGAAGCCATCATGTGAATCCCAGAAAAAAACACACACACTAAATAATTGTGAATTCTCTTGTTTTACCAGTGATTTTGAAGACTTCTATTAGGTCTCCTCGTAACCTTCTCTGCTCCAATGAGAATAATCCTAACCTCTTTAGCCTTTCCTTATAATCAAGGTCCCTCATTCCTGGTACCATCCTCGTAAATCTCCTCTGCACCCTTTCCAATGCCTTAACATCCTTCCTATAGTGTGTTGCCCAGAACTGGGCGCAGTATTCTAATTGAGGCCTAACCAGTGTTTTATATAAGTTAATCATAACCTCCTGACTCTTGTACTCTATGCCGCTATTTATAAAGCCTTGTATCCCATATGCCCTTTTTATATCTTTATCTACCTGTCCTGCCACCTTCAAGGATTCATTTACCTGAACCCCCAGATATCTCTGTTCTTTACCCCCCTTAAGATTGTATTACCAGCCTATATTGCCTCCCCTCATTCTTTCTTCCAAAATGCATTACCTCGTATTTCTCCACATTGAAATTCATCTGCCATGTGTCTACTCATTTTACCATTCTATTTTTCTTACAAGTCTTTAATGTGTCACTTTGTCAAATGTTAAATGACTTCCCGCTGCCCTTTAGTTGTTTTACCTGCCAATCTTTCTTTCCAGTCCACCTTGGCAAGGTCTCTGGCCTGTAGTTGGGACGTCCTCCCGACGATTGTCCTTCTGCCCTTTTTTGTACAGAAGAGTAACATTGGCCACTCTCCAGTCCTCTGGCACCACCCCTGAGTCCAACGAAGATTGAAAAGTTGTAGCCAAAGCCTCCGTTATTTGTATCCGTGCCTCCCATAGTATCCTTGGCTGCATCCCGTCCGGACCGGGCGACTTATCTACCTTGAGCCCAGTCAACCTTTTCAGTTCTTCCTCTCTGTTTACACTTATCCTATCCATTTCCTCTACCCTCTCGTCCGATATTGTGGCATTTGGTGCATCCGCTTCTTTTGTGAAGACAGATGCAAAGTACTCATTCAGTACATCAGCCATGCCCTCTGCCTCCACAACAAGATTTCCGCCTTGGTCCTTAATTGGCCCCACCCTACCTTTGACTAACCTTTTTTTCTTGATATGTTTGTAAAATATTTTAGGATTTCCTTTAATGTTACCCGCTAACCTTTTTTCATTTTGCCCCTCTTATTTCCTTTTTCAGTTCTCTTCTGTATTTCTTATATTCTATTTGGTTGTCTTCTGTATCTTAGGTTTGACATTTGTCATATACCTCCTTTTTCTGCTTCATTCTAGACACAATTACCTTCGTCATCCAGGGAGGTTTTGATTGGCCTGCTTTTCCCTTTTGTGGGACAGAATGTATTTGTTCTGTCCCCGAGCTATCTCATCCTTGAAGACTTCCCACTGCCCTTTAGTTGTTTTACCTGCCAATCTTTCTTTCCAGCCCACCTTGGCTGGGTCTCTTTTTAACTCACTGAAATTAACCCTCTTCCAGTTGAACATCTTCACCTTTGATTGTTCCTTGTCCCTTTCCATATGCACTCTGAATCTAATGATGTTGTGATCACTATTGCCCAGATGCTCTCCCACTGAAACCTGCTCCACTTGCCCTACTTCATTCCCCAGAACTGCTTCCTTCCTCGTTGGGCTGGAAACATACTGATCAAGAAAGTTATCCTGTATGCATTTTAGCAATCTTTCCCTCTCCTTGCCCTTTGCGCTGTTGTTTTGCCAGTCTATGTTGGGATAATTAAAGTCCCCCATTATCACAACTCTATTGGCCTTGCATCTGTCTGAGATCTGCTTGCAGATCTGCTCATCTATTTCCTTCCCACTATTTGGTGGTCTATAGTATACCCCTACCAGCGTAACAACTCCTTTTTTGTTCCTTAACGTTAACCAGATAGATTCTGTTTTGGGGATCCTCCAGCACCTCGACCCTTTCCATGGCTATAACCGTATCCTTGATTAATATTGCCAAACCCCCTCCTATTTGTCTAGTTCCTTCCTTACTGAGATGATGATATCTTCATCTGCTAGTGCTGCAGTACATTGCTCATTTACATCCTCATTAACAAAAAGATCAATGAACTCTTCGTTTTGCAAAATAAGAGCTTCATACAGCACTTTTTGGAGAAAATCAGATGTTATCCAGGTTTTGGCTTCATTTTTGCCGGTAGATATTTGATGTTTTTGAAGCATTACAGGGATTTTGATTTTCCTATTATGAGAGGCTGTATGTGACCATAATTGAATAATGGAACTGCGGTCTTCAGGTTGTTTGCCTCCAGTACAGGGTTGTCCCTCAATGCAGTAAGTTGTGTCCGGGTGCACTTAAACAACAAGGGGGGCTTGTCTGTGTTGTAAATTTTTGACAAATTGTGGTCCCATAGAATTCCTGGGGAAGGGTCTCTTACTCCTCAAAGTGAGACAAGTCAGCAGACTTACCCTCGCTGTAGTGTTTTGTACACAGATAATAATAATCCATACATTTGTTATAGCCACTTATCACATTTTCAAGAATCTTCTTGGCCAACTCAGATATCAGCTGTGAATCCACGGAAGCCATCATGTGAGTCCCTGAAGAAAACACACACACTAAATAATTGTGAATTCTCTTGTTTTACCAATGTCGTGGCTTGGTTTAAATTGTGCTTTGTGACAGCTGAGGAGATTTAATCGCGGTGTTCAAAATTATGAGGGGTTTTGATAGAGTAGATCGGGAGAAACCGTTTCCTTTGGTGAATGGATTGTGGTCCTGCAGCTCAGTGGTTAGAGCACTCACCTTGCAAGCGAGACACCTGGGTTCAATTCCAGACAGAGCGAAACCTGGGCAAGTTTCCTTACCCCACACGCCTAATAATAATCCCTCCAAAACAAAACAATAATAAATTGGTCATTTTCAATATACGACTGTTTGTGGGACATTGCTGTGCGCAATTGGCTGTCAAGTTTCACCCACAAATATACAGTCAATTCACTTTACAGTATTTTCTGTGAAGCGCTTTGGGATGTTTAGAAGACGTGAAAGCGCTATATCAAATGCAAGGATTATTATTATTGTAGTAAGTAGGAACCCAATTGTTTGTCGATTTGTGAATCGTTTTACCGGGTATAATAATCCCTCAAAAAATGTTTTTGCGGGATACTGCTGTACACAGTTGGCTACTGCATTTCGCCCACAAAAATGGGGAGCACTGTGCCATAAAATATTGTGTGAACAGTTCCACTCGCTCTTGTTTTTTGGTGACAAATTTGTATTGCTCAATCTTCACATTGTTTTATGCACAGCACCGCACCACTTAATATTCATCACGTCCTGTAATGGCATTTGATACCCCCTTCCAAAGTCTTAAAATATTGTCATTCCTCTTCTGCTACATTCAAAACTATAGTAATTTGTTGTCTTTGTGGCTGTACTAGTGAAATCCCGCTCAAACCAGTGCCAATTGTGACTCAAGCTTCCCATTGATGTCAATGGTCTCGGTATTTACATACCCCTCGATATTTAATTGACTCCCTCGATGCAGAATGCATTTTGCTTCTTTCACTCTCCATTTCTAATTGCGTACAGTAGTTATTTCCTGTCCAATTCAGTTTTCTTCTGACACCCTGTAAGAACACAGCTGTTACTCATTTTATTAGGGTTCAATCCAAGCCATAACCATACCAGTTTGCTCTTTTCCCAGTATTCTTTTTATATTTTGTGGGGAAGAGGGAGGAGACGATGGTGAAAAAGGCAGGTTCCTTGGGCCTTCCTCTGAGCTGGGTTTCTAATTGAGTTTCTAATATTAACAGGAAATCTTACAAAGCTGAGGTTGAACAGAGGAAGGAGGATTTGAAAGATTTTGTCACCTTGTTCCCTATGTGGAGAGTGTGGATGATCAGCTACATCAGAGACCTACGAGAGATCGCAGACAGCATTTACTCGATTCACAAACCTGGCCCGAGAGTGGGAGTCGGCCAGAGTGTGGCTGGTGGGGCTGACAACACTGCAGCTTTTGACACGGACACTGTAACCCAAACACTGAGACAGAAAAGGGTTAATGATATCAGGGAACAATATACAAAGGACAGCAGAGAAATGGCAGAGTGTTACACAAAACTCTCACGAGCAGTTCGGATCTTGAAGCAATATAGTAAGAAATCAGATATTACATTTCCTGGTGGAGCTGAGAGTCTCACTGAACACTTGGCTGTATTTGCTGCTGTGGCTGAAACAATAAGCAAACAGGTGTCAGTGACATCCAGGGCCGGGTCAGCAGCTCAGACAGGATTATTTATTGCATCGGATCTGATCTCCAGAGTAAACGATGTTCATAATCTCAACTGTGGAGCCAGGGCAGATGCTGCTAAACATATTCACGGTGTGGCTGAAGTGATGGAGAATGAAGTGATGGCGTATGAAGAGATTTATAAACATCTGGAAGGTACAGTCATAGTTGCTTCCCTTTCTCAGTCACCCACGGTGAGACATCTGAACAATGTGATAAGGTGCTATATCAAAAGGAAGGATTATTATCAAAGAATCATAAAATTATACAGCACTGAAGGAGGCCATTCGGCCCATCGTTTCTGTGCCGGCTATTTGAAAAGCGCTTCCAATTGAATCCTACTCCACCGCGCTCTCCCCATAGCCTGCAAGCCTGTCCTCCCAGAATTATTATCTAATATTATTATTATTCCCCTGTAATCCTCTTCTCCCTCAGTAATGCCATCCACAGGGGCGCAAGATCAACTTCAACATGTATCTGGATGTGGCCCTCAACTCCCGGCTCTCACTGTCCTGACAGATAGCGGCTCACGTCAAATCCTGGATGAGCCTCAACTTTCTGTAACTGACCAAAGCAGAAACCATTATGCGAGACTCCACCAGCACCTTCTCACCTCTGGACCTCTCTGTCTATACCTCCTGCCTGCTCTCCAGCTCCAACTTAACCCTTTGGCCAGCTGGGGCTATAAATCTACACCTCGATATTTGGTAAAAAATCACATAGAATCTTAGAATCTTACAGCACAGAAGGAGGCCATTCGGCTCATCGTGCCTGTGCCAGCTCTTTGAAAGAGCTATCCAACTAGTCCCACTCCCCCAAACTTACCCCATGGCCCCGCAAATTCAAAATATAAATACATATACAATTTGTTTTGGTCAGCAGTGTCTCTGACACACGCGGAAACCCATTGCTGTGCTTAAGAGTCTCCAAACTAAACTGAGTATCCACATAGGTGAAAATTTCCATGTCTGGAATGGAATGCACACTCTCTCCCTGGATGGACACCCACTGCTTATCTAATTCTGGAGAGAATTAGGCAAAGGCTGGTGAGAGCCAAGCCTTTGGGACTCTAGACTGTGTGTTAAGGTAACTGCTGGAGTTTAATCAGCTAAAATCACAGTTTGCCATTGAGAGCACCGTGTGGGAAGCTTCCCACTGTTTCTTCAGGTAGGACCATTCTATTCATTAGGGCTTTGCAGGGTGAACAGGATCTGAGTGTGAAGAGTCTCTGCCCCCAGTGAATGGTCTGCCCTTCCAGATCCTGCCAGTCAGCCAGGCTGTGCTGTGCTGTCATCAGCAGTGCCCTTGAATACTGTGGACCTGCCAGGCTCAGGAACCGGACGAGAGATCATCACAGTGTGGGCATTTCACTCAAAAAATATACTGTCAATTCCCTTTACAGTATATTCTGTGAAGCGCTTTGAGACGTCTCGAAGACATGATAAGGCTCTGTATCAATTGCAAGAATTATTATTATAGGATGGACTAAATTCCATTCCCAAACATGTCACCTTGGAGCCTGTTCAGCCCCGAGACCCTGCTTCCCCCACCCCAGACACACACCCTACCCCCAAGATGCATTGTCACCAGTTGGTCATTTAGCATCTGATAATAAGCAGTAATAATGGCTCTTGTTTCTCCCTTATTTAACAGACACAGTCAGCGCCACTAAGGACAGGTATGTACAGATGTGAATCAATTACTTGTTCTCGTCCGACTCTGTCTGATTGGCTCTTTATCTGATTACTGGAGTCCTGTAGCTGTGCGCAATTTGTTGCTGAGTTTAGCCGACAAATATACAGTCAATACACCTTACAGTATATTCTTTGAAGTGTTTTGAGACATCTGGAAGATCTGAAAAGCGCTGTATCAAATGCAAGTATTATTATATTATTATTTCTCTCTCTATTCCCCCACCTCCCCATCCAGGTTCAGAGATGGCAAGGTGCGTGGGGGTGGGGGGGCGGGGAATAGTCTGTTTCTGGCTCCACACACCTGTCAGTGCTGCAGGATAGAGGGACGTGTAAAGTGGATGAGAAGTTGCCTGAATCAGAGGAAGTAAAGCGCAGTGGTTCCCGAAGTAGAATGAGATGTCGCCAGTGACTGGCAGGTGCCCAGGGCTCAGTGTTGGAGTCCCTGGTGGTTACTGCACGATAATGACCTGCAATTGGGGATCAAACCTGGATTCTGGATTAAGTTACTGATAACAGGACACCTGGACAGAAGAGGGAGATGGTTAGATTGGGGAACTGGGCTGAGAGGCGGCAGATAATTATATTGTAATCTATACTAATTAAACGACAATGTCTGTCTGCGCTTCAAGAAGTATATCAATAACAAATTGATGTAGAGACATGTTTTATACCTCATCGGAAAGGCTTTGTATCTTGGAGCTAAGTGGCAGCGGGAACAAAATAAAGAACACAGATGAAGCTAAGCAGCAGGAACAACAAAATTGCATCTTTAAAGCACCTTTCACGTCAGGAGGACATCCTAGTGATTATAAATTATACATCTCTATTGATCATCATAAAGATGCCTAAGTGAAAATCAAACTTTTCAAGAATAAGCAAAAATGCTAGACAAAAGAGAGAAGGCACATTAAATGAAACTGTGGAACAAAGTCCTCCCACAGGAGTCCTTCCAGATGAGTATAGATAAAGATGAAATGTCTGTCTGTGTGTCTGTCTGTATCAATCTACATTCTGTATTGGATCCTTTGATTGCAAGCGTAGCTGCAACGCGTACAACTAGTTACATGTAAATTAATAGAATAATTTAGAATATTAACAACAACAACAACTTGGATTTATATAGTGCCTTCCGCGCCGGACGGCGTCTATATTAATAGTGGAGCTTAGTGATTAGAGCACTTGCCTTGCAAGCAAGAGGACCTGGATTCAATTCCCAAGCAGTGCGAAACTTTGAGTAAGTTTCCTTACTCCACACACCTCTGTTTACCTATCAGTAGGTAGAAACACGGTTGTCAGTTGATTGGCGGATTGCTTTTCCGGAGGTAATAATCCTTTTAAAAAAATAATAATAATAATAATTGGTCACACAATCCACGACTGTTTGTAGGACACTGCTGTACGCAATTGTCCCCCTTTTTCAGCTCATAAAATATACAGTCGATTCACTTTTCAGTATATTTTGTGGAGTGCTTTGCAAGTCTCTAACACGTGAAAAGGCTGTATATCAAATAGAAGGACTGTTATTATATGTTTACAGAGTATTTATTTTCATAGAATCATAAAAATATACAGCAGAGAAGAGGCCATTCAGCCCATTGTGTCTGTGCCGCCTCTTTGAAAGGAGCTGCCAAATCAATTCCAATCCCCATAGCGCTGCACACTTGTTCTCCCCAAATAATTACCTACTTCTCTCTTAAAAGTTGTTATCGAATTAGCTTCCACCGCCCTTATAGGCAATGCATTCCAGATCTGAATGATTTGCTGTGTGAAAAATGATCTCCTCACCTCCCCTCTGTTTCTTTTAACAACGATTTTAAATTTGGTGTCAATCAGGTTACTGACCCACCCGCCAGTGGAAATACAATTCTCGCTCAGTTCCCTCCTCACGCTGCTGGGCTCACTGCTCAAGAACACTTTGCTCCCTGGGCAAAGAAAAAGAGGATAAGTAACCTAACTGCAGGGCAGGGGATGTCAGGAGTGAGACCAATGCTCCCTGTCAGCGATGCCCACACTCCCACACACGAGATTTGACACTTAGGTTACAGAGAGCAGTTGGAGGCTGGGTGGGGTTGGGGAAGAGGTAATCTCTGAGGCCCAGTGTGAAGCTGGTGTAAAATGTAAAATCTACTCTCTTAAAAGTTGTTATCAAATTGGCTTCCACCGCCCTTTCAGGAACGCATTCCAGATCCAAACAACTCGCTGTGTAAAACAATTTCCCTTGTTTCCCCTCCCGTTTCTTTTAACAACTATTTTAAATCATTCCTCGAGTTACCGAGCCACACGCCAGTGGAAATAGTTTCTCCTTGTTCACACTATCGAATCCCCTCATCATTTTAAAAACTTCTATTAAGTCTCCTCTTAACTTTCTTTGCTCCAAGGAGAATAATCCTGGCTTCTCTAGTCTCTCCTCATAACTGACGTCCTGTCAGTCCTGTAGCTCAGTGGTTTGAGCACTCGCTTTGCAAGCGAGAGACTGAGTACAATTCCCAGGCGAAACCTTGGGCAAGTTTTCTTACTCCACACAGAGCCTAATAATAATCCCTCCAAAAACCCCAAACAATAATAATTGGTCATTTTCAATCTACGACTGTTTGTGGACATTGCGTGCGCAATTGGCTGCCGCGTTCGCCCACAAATATACAGTCAATTCACTTTACATTGTGTTCTGTGAAGCGCTTTAGGACGTCCTCCCGACGTGAAAAGCGCTATATCAAATGCAAGGGTAGTATTATTTACCATCCTGGTAAATCTCCTTTGCACCCTCTCCAATGCCTTGACATCCTTCCTCAAGTGTGGTGCCCAGAACTGAACACAGTCTTTAGCAGTGTTTTATAAATGTTAATCATAACTTTCTGACTTTTGTATTTTATGGCCCTATTTATAAAGCCTAGTATCCCGTATGCTTTTTTTTAACAGCTTTATCTCCCTTGTCCTGCCACCTTCAAATATTTATTTATATGAAGCCCAGTCTCTCTGTTCTTATTTTATTGATAAATATTATTACTAATTTACTAATTATATATATAGCATATTAAAAGTAGAGAGACTGACATGGAAATAATAAAATGATCATGTGACCAGCTCTTTATAACTTCTCTGAATCCCCTGCTTTCTGGAAATCACCGAATACGATTATAGAGGGCAGAGTCAACGATTAAAGGGACAAAGAGAGAGAGAGACAGAGCTGCCCTCATCCCTCCAGAGAACACATGATCTTTCTCTTCAGAAATCTGTAACTACTTTCCTCTGTGGGAAAGGCTGCCCTGACCCCACTGGGCTCCCTGTGTCTGGTGCTGTGTGTGATGTGGGCAGTAGCTGAGAGTTGGTTGTTTTGTGTTCACAGGAAGCCTTCCTCACTGAGCTGGCAAAGAGGACTGATGATGTGCAGAGCTTTAAAGCACAGCTCTCTGTGGAGGGAACAGGGGAGGACACCTGAGAGCACTGCGAGAGGCTGCGGACCACATCGACACCTTCACAGATCAGACACAGCTCTGACCATTGGGCTCCATACTGCGTATTGCCGGAGTGATACTGATTATTGTGGCAATAATCATTGGCACAACATTCGCGAAGATATTGGTAAAGAGGTTGGTGTTCACACTCAGCCTCACCATTGTGGGAGTTGTAATAGCTGCAGTCGGGACTGTTATCACCTTTGTAGCTCGTGGCAATATCACTGCTTCACAAACAGAGAAAGTGATAAGAGTGAATGAAATAGAACAATATAAAACAGACAGCAGAGCCATGGCGGATTGCTACAATAAACTCCACAGGATAATCCAATTGTTCATGAAATCAGGAAGATATCCATCTACTGGTAAAGCTGAGATGTTCTCCAGTGGTTCATGTGCTTTTCCCCTCATTGTTGACATGGAGGCCACCCACAAGGTAAACCCAGTGAGGGCTGTTTTACAGTTTCTCTTAGCAATTGTTGTTGTGTACGATGTTTACTTTGCAATAAAGAATATCCTTAACTGTTGCAACGGATCCAAGTCAGGAATTGCTGAACAGGTACGAAAAGTGGTTAATATGATGGAGACTGAGGTACGATCATGTGAAAAGGTTTATAAACCCATAGAAATGATGCAAAGAACAGCTTAACCAATATACACAGTTTGGCTATAATTGCCCTCAGTAACTGTGGAATAGGGGGGACTTCAGCCTGGTGTCTCCTGATGCCGGGTGAGGACAAGCTGGGATTCCCCACAACCCAATATAACCCACTGCACTTACAGCACCTTTTACACAAGAGGCCATTGGGGCAGGAAGAGAAGACACAAAGCAACTGGTTTTGGGAAGAGTTCGAGAACAGGGACACAGTGCCTGACCCTGGATTAGTGATGGTGGAAGAGGGGCTGAGAAACACATTGACCTGAGTGGGAGAAGTGGAGGGAGTGGGCAGGACACTGGGAGCTGCAGGAGATCACAGAAAAGATATCACTCAATACTTTAACGCGAGTTCATTCGGCGGACGGCTATACAAAAAATATAGATCGGGGCATCCG